TTTTTTCCGCATTTAGAGGCACGGTCCGCGATCAGGTATAGAAGTTGAAAATATGGCATTGGGAGGGTAGTGTGGTCCGCGACGAACAATCTTGTACCGGTTTCGCGGCAAAAAATTGTAAGGGAGGGGCGCTATAGCGCAATATAGGTTCAGTGACGCCTCCTTTTTTCCAGTGACTCCGCCTCCAGACTCCGCCTTCAAAGCCCGTCTTTCAGTGAAAAACAGCTGCTGAACGAAAAAGCATGAAAATCGTCACTGCGGTCGTGGAGTTCTTATCGGGGAATCAGCTGTGCAGATGGGGGCGTAGTGCTGGAGATGGAGTTAACTGGGCACGTACAAACTGGGATCAAAATGGGGTTCTATCTAGGGCAGTTGGCATTTTTTTCTGCTTTTTTCTTCACTATCGAGTTACTCAGAACCTTGTCGTCTATATGCGAACCCCTAATCCACTATCTGTGATCTGGCGAATGATCGTAGGCTTTGCCTTTAGTGCAGATTCATCTCATGGTCGGCAATGCAGTAACGACCCTCCCCAGGGCTCAAATAGGATCTCCATCGTAGAGAATTTTTCGATAGCTCTTTGTACTGAGTGCAGTTCCAAAGGTTTCTCACCGCGTTACGCAGCGATGGCTCCTCGATGTCATTCACTTCGGCAGAAACGAATCCGCTCTTCAGAGGTGTCTTGTCGTAGCTGTCACCAACTCCACTCTCGAACCTTAAAAATCAAATAATCACTGGGAGCAGGTGGGACTCATTGAACCCTTGAAGAAGGTTGCTTACCTTTCCACCAGTTCCTTGTGCCTGTCGTCTCGTGGATTAGCAAGAGCTGGCGTATATTTCAGTGGGTTATTACCGTCTCGTACGACGTACAGCGGCAAGTTGAACGATTCCACCTAGAACCACTGCGATTGAGTGACCTAGAGGAGTACGGTAGTCAACATGTCACTTACCACACGACAAGGGCTCTGTGCATCCTTACGCTTCTGTCCTTTTGGACATCCACACAATTTTCCGGCGATACATTCCTCACCAAGTGCTTCATTACAGAACATGGTTCCGCATGAGGTACCGTACACCTGTTCTTCGACCCTTCAAAAAGTCGAGTTTTTCGGGCTCGGTAATAAGATCTACAACTACACCGTTGCCGAAAGGTGTACCAGACGAGACTCACTTGCAAGGATCCAATAGCATAAAGTCATCGGCAACTTTCAGTTTGTCGATTTTTCCTCCGTTAGCGTTTACCTGAAAATTTACTTTGATGTTTTCTTATTTTTCAATTTTCGGACGACCTCAAAGAACAACACTGTTCTTCTTTTCAATATTGCCAAAAGTCAACATTGCTCGGAATCGTGAGTAGTAACAGGAATTGTTAAGCCTCAAATAAGGCCCTCTTGTTTGCACTTTGTCCGGAGCATTGGACGAATAGCATAGAAAGGAGGGACGGAGAGACACTGAGTGCGTGGGCGAGAGGCCTCGCAGCGGCACCATCATTGAAGGTGCGAAGGATTACTGCAACATCAAGCAGTCGCTGCGTATGTGGGAGTGTTCCCGAATGCCAGCAATTGAAGAACACCCAAATACGGGGGCGCTGAGGCTGCATTCATACTTTGCGGCAGCGACCACAAGAATCCCGAGCGTCTGGCAGCGTCAGCGACTAGGAAAATAGATATCAATCAAGGGCTGCCGGCGTCTCGAGGTCTAGGGAAGTATAAGTATCGATCTAGCGCTTGTCAGCGTCTACCAGCTTCTAAAAGCGTCCAGCAGCGTTCACCACGGACTGCGCGTAGAGAGCATGAAGAAGTAGGAGGGTAGAAAACAGCTAGATTAGACTACACTACACCGTACATCAAATTGCATGATTCTTGCTCTAGCAGTTGTCCGAAGCAGTTGCACGCCGCGATTTCACGACGCCTAATCCTAGCTATTTGCTACCCTCCTACTTCCCCATACACTCCTTTCCCGCTCTCTGGTGGACGCTGGTACACGCTGGCAGACGCTGGCAAACACCACATCGATACCTATACTTCACTAGCCTTCGACGCTGGCCGCCGCTGGTGGACGCTGCCGCAAAGCATGAACGCAGCCTTAGAATTGAGACGTAAGTCCCTGG